CTATGCCACACTCAAAGTCATAAGTAGGCTATGGAACTGGGGATCTAAGTCTGTAATCCACCATATTTCTGTCATGACATTCCATCTATAAGACAGAAGAAGGAACATCACCTTGCATTGCAATGGCTAATCAGACGACTGTTACTTCTAACAGAATGATTTGTCATTTTTTTAGGCTTAACTATTTTTGACCATCTCTTCTATTATAGGAATATTTGCTTCTAAAAGGAGATGTCAGTGAATCACTTAGCATAGTCCCCGGCACATAGTAAGAGTTAAATGAATGTGAGTTCTAGCTCTCCTTGGGTGTCCTTTCTCTCTTCTCCCGATCATGCATTCATTCAGTCATTTGGCTAATGTCTGTCATGGTCCCACTATTTACTAGACAATAACGTTGGAGGTAAAAATCACAGATTCTATAATTAGGATGCCCAGGAATGAACCTGGTTATATCTAGGAGCTAAAGAGTTTTCTGGATGTTGATTATTTTTTCTTCCTTACTTCAAGAAAAAAAAGTGAAGAAGTCGGACTGTGGGGAGTGGCAGTGGAGTGTGTGTGTGCCCACCAGTGGAGACTGTGGGCTGGGCACCCGGGAGGGCACCCGGACCGGAGCTGAGTGCAAACAAACCATGAAGACCCAGAGATGCAAGATCCCCTGCAACTGGAAAAAGCAATTTGGAGGTAAGCGTCACCCTATTGTCCCATGGATTTAATTTCCTACTCTAATTTTTGAGTTTTTCCATCAGACATCTTTTCCAGGTTGAGTCTTATTTATTTAAAATAAGTTTATTTTATCAGACACAAAGTGGCCGGACATCATCTTGCCTAACCCCGGGGTTTCTCAGCTTCANGCAGTAATATCCAGACACCAGCAGCCATCTATGATAGTCTGCAACTCAATTGCTAAACCCTACAAAAATTAATCTATCAAGGCAAGAACAGGAAAGATGGCAGTAGAAGGAGGGGGTGAGAAATAAGTGAATTATTCAAGAGAAATGATTTAGCCAATTTAGCAAGCTTCCTTCTTCCACTCTTATTTTCCTCCATGTGAAAAATACATCTTGGTCTGATCACTTCCTCAAGAGCAATCTTTTTGCCTTTGCTCTCACCTGGCACCTGGTCTTCTGGAGAACAGGCAGTGCTAAGCTCGATGCAGGGAGTGCTTTTGCCTTCACTCGGTGCTCAGAGCACAAAATTAATCAATTATGCAAATGTCACAAACAACGGGAACTGTTGTCTGCACATATACTAATTACTCAAGTATTTACTACAACAGCAAGGCACCAGCAGGCTAATTGGGTATCATTTGGGCACATTTGAATTTTTGGATAATTTTAATCATTCCATTTCTAATCCCCCTTACGCTCTTCTTTTAAATAATCTTTAGTCATTATTTTCTACCCAGAAAATCTATGCTATCAAAATATAGGTTTAAGCATAATGATATGCACCACAGGAGGGAGGTGAGAAGGGGCCGAGAAGAAGAGAAATATTCTTCCTCCAACAGCAAAGCTGTTGCTGACTCGCTATACCCAAGGACATGTGCATTTTTCCTTAGAATATTTAAGAGCTGAAAGTCACCATGT